TTTTTATAAAATTGAAAACAAAACAAAAAAGGACTACAAATCCTGAGAGCCATCATTTCTGAGAGCATAATTTGGACATCTGAAACAGCACAGATTTTCACGAGGTGCAGCGAAATTTCCTGATAGAGATCCAACTTGCTTAACATGCACCTAAAGAGGAAGTACCCAAGAAGCCTGGCCTCTCCTGGAGAATGCAGTACAGCACTCTCCCAATGAACCATTCTTCCACCACTGCTCCAAAAGACAGTGAGGCTCTCCTGGCTCTTCTGTCCAGCATTCCAGCAGACTGATAACAAAGCTGCCAGCTTTGTAGGGACATGTTAAAGATATTTTTAAAATCCTCTGCTCTCTGTCAGTTATAACACCCTTTCTGAAGGCTAAGATAGAAACCAGTTTCCACATCTACAACCTGAACTCCAGTAGCTACTTTTGATACCACATGACACATTCTTGGCAGGCTCCACAGGGAGGCCAGAAACAGGTTGGAACACGAAGCCACTGACATCCCTCTAGAAAGAGCTCAGCCATACTTGAGGAAAAGCTTTAAAACACTGTATGCAAGGAAAACATCTTCAACCTGTCTTAAATAGACAAAGCATAATTTTTAATCCCATTTTAAAGAACACAAGGAACATCACATGCCACTGAATGACATGGTTAGTGGGCATGGTGGTTGGACTAGATGACCTCAGTGGTCTTTTCCAAACTTAGTGATTCTATGATTTTATGGCACGCTGTTTTCTCTCACCAAAGAAGTGCACAGTAACATTACTAAAACCAGCAACACAGAATATAAATGTGCTCCCACACTGAAGAGAAGACACATTACCAGAAGAGGGAAATCATGGTCCCAGAATTCCAGCCCATAACAGACAGCAAAAAAGTGAAACTTATTCAAACAGATGCTCACTAAATTCTAATCAGAGCCAAATTTTGAGTGTTTTCCCCTTCGTTATGCTTTTGCATCAGCTATTGCTGCTATGCATGTGAAGTGCCACCAATTCTTTGTAACGAGCAAAGAGGCACAAGCTCCCAAAAAAGCCAGTGATCTGGCAGCAGCACTCATTAACTAATCTTGGTCCACGGGAGAGACTTGTTATCAGGAGCCCCTGAGCATCATCATTCAGTGTGCTCCTTTGCTGCTAGCCACACAGCAGCAGCAACTACAGGTTATGATATTTCACAAAGGGAAAATCACTAACTAAAGCACAGTGCTTTAGAAAAGCTAATTGCCTTGTCCGGTATTTCCTCCTCAAAGGGAAGACAAGAAATTCGGCTGGCAAGAGCAATATCAATTCTGTTTCTTCTGTAGGTAGAAGACATGGCGCATAGCATCTTAGCCATGATAATGAGAGAGCAGATGGTAGGAAAGGACATCCTATGATGTTTTCCCCTTTTTAGCATCAATTTAGACTTCAAGCTCAACTTCTGAGGGAGAGAATACCAGTGAATTACTGTACAACCGCAGATAGAAAATCAGAGGTGCAAGTGCAAGGAATGTGACCAAGGCTGGCCAGCCAACACCACCTCTCCATTAGAATCTTCTGTTTGAGCAATTCTTGCAAAAAAACATTGAGAATTGAGATCTCAAATTCTTCTCAAATTCCTTCTAAAATGGAAGTACTTACACGGTAAATACCTTAAAAAGAACTGAGAATAACTTGCTGTAACACCGCCTGCTCCACCCTCTCAATATGGCTAAAAATTTAATTAGTTAATTAATAAAAAGTAAGTTGAGAAAGGTCTCAAAATCTTTAAATGAAGGATACAACGGTCAAAAAATAAATGTCAAAATAAAAAACTTGCATAAAGAAACTACTCCATCATAGCAAAATCCTACTTGAATTTTGCCATCTCCAGGGCACTGCACGTACATCATGGTGAGCACAGACAACAGCACTGTAACCTTTCAAAAGCAGCAAACCAGTACAGAAATGAGATGCACACAGGCACAGGACAGTTACAGGTAGGACAGAGAGAAGATGAAATAAGTCTGACTGAAATTTCTTTTGCAGAACAGACATTTTAAGCTCACAGTCCGAAGCTCTGATACAGAACAGCTGCATGGTCTCTCATTTAAAAGTAACAGAACTCATGTCTAACCCTTATGGCTACACTAAAAGGCAGATAGTTGACCGAGGTTCAATATAAGGGCTAAAAACATCAGGAGACAAAGAGCCAAATGTACATCTAACCCCCAAGCCATCCAACCCAGAAATACTGCAGTTACTCTTAAACACATCTCAGCACTTTAAGAAGGGTTCAGTTCATGACCTGAGCCTTATTAACAGGTGAGTTTGGACCATCAATCTGAGAAATGGGACTAAACATCCTCTGAAACATGAGAGCACTCCAACAAGTTTTCAGTAGAAAGACTCATGAATTTGGAGAGAAAGCTACTTGCTGGCATGCAATTACTTCAAGATCATGAGAAAGAAGTAGATCGTGGGTTTGCTTCTGTGACACAGGAGGAGGAATGAGCAGGTGAGGAGCTGTAGAAGGAGAGGCAAAAGATGCCTTGCACGTAGCTTTGTTGAGGATGGCTCTCTTAAAAACCATTATACAAGCTGTGCCTGACCACTTCAGGGTTTTCCAAACCCCTCTTGATTCAAATATTCAATTTTCACGTATAGACAACCTTCATGAAAACATTTATTTAAGATAACTACACATAAATCTTCACAGACTTCCACAGTGCAACAAATAAGCCTTCATTTTGCCAGCTCACATTTTTTCCCTTGAACATCATGCTGCAATTTTTCTTCCTGTTGAGCTAGGCTGCTTAAATAAATAAATCTCTGTCCTTCCAGTGCTGCATAATTTGCATTTAAGTTCTGAGCCTACATATACCTGTTCTGAGCCTTCTGCAAGTAACTCCTCGGCTGCTCACTTATATATCAGTTTGTATTCAGGATTATTAATGCTGGATGGAATTTATATCCAGGGCAATGCTTCGTTTGCCATCCAAGCTGAGCTGCACTGGAATTAACTCGACACTTGCACACTGACTGATGAAGGAATGCTGATATCACTTTATGGGGTACCAGGATGCCTTTTGCCATGTAACATGGAGTGAATCATTTCCAGTGGAGCGTAAATCCCTTCCAAATTAGTCCATGTTTTTCCATTTACTGAGTTTTTTTCTCAACTGACTCCAAACCCTGGGCTTGTACCCAGGCACAGAGTGCACTGCAGAGGCTTCCAAAGCAGGAATGTCATGTGATTACAGACAGGGACTTCAGCTGAATGCTCTCTGCAACTGGCAAAATCCTGGCCAGAGCCTCTTGGCATCTGCATATGCTGCTCAGGCCAGCAGCAGAGCATCCCAGTCCTCTGGTCAGCTCTTGATCTTCAGCTCCACAGCAGCTCACATACGCACCTGAAAGCAGTACTGCAGTTCCTGCAGACACTTGCCTCTGAGCTTGTTTTGTGCCATACAACACATCTGAGGATCCAAAAGCACTTCAGAAGGGTGGAGGAGATTCCAATAAAGTCATGCAGAAGCCTCAGCATCTTCTACAATTACTTGTGTTGTTGCTACAGAGCTTAGAATAACCAAACCACAGCCATAGTGGATCAAGCTAACATCATCCAAACTCTCATACATGCTACAGAAATATGATTTGGAATTTCTGCTTTGGAGCAGGAAAGGAGGAGCATTCACAAAGCTCAAAGAGAATTCCCCATTAGAAGAGGTATTTGACACTCACATTTTGGCACTAGGGGAAGACAAAGTTACAGATCCATTGGATTGCAACTAGATGCTCGTGCACAGCCACACTTCACAGGTTAACATGTGGTTTAATCCTGCCTTTGTGACATGCCAGGGCTAAGACCTGTCTGAAGCAGCTTGTACCTGCTCAAGCAGTCTGTATTTTATATTTCTTCATTCTTCTTGCAGGAGCTACTGGAAAGCTTAGGAAATGTGATTTCTAACATGGAACATTCAGCTGCTTGAGGGCATCTGGTCAGAAATTTTATAGCTTTTAAAAGTTTTTAGTGCAATCACACATAAAATCTCAATGGTTGTCAGAGAAACACCAGCATGAATAGAACTGCACAGTCTAAGAGAAAAGATTTACATTAGAGGCCATTCATCATCCTCATCCCACATCTCTGAAAAACAACAAAATATACCAAAACACCAGGATGAAAAAGTTCAAGAGCCAATGTAATCAGTGAAATGGCAGAAGCTCCCCTCACTTGGTCAGGAGGCAAAGCCTGCAGGCATTTACTCAGTCACTAACTGCCTCATTGCTCCCCTCCAGCAGTATCACTTCAGAGCTCAGCAACACTTCTAAGACAAACCAAGTTTTGTTCTTTCCTGGAAAGCTTCTACTAGCTTACTTCAGGCTACTGCAGTTCTGTCTTTCATGGGAGATCCCTGGTTACCACTGAAACCAAAACTCTGCAGAATCCTCACTTTTCTGACACCCTGCACCCTCTTACCCTGGGAAAACAATTACCTGCCTGAAGCGCCTTGATACTTTGAGACAGGTTTTTAACACCTTTGGGTGGAATGGAACAAGGCAAAAAAATAAGCTCCTTCTTTGCAGCCTTTAAGCTAACTTCTTCTGAGCCAGAGTCCATAAACGTGTAGGTAAATGAGGCTGGGATCGCTTTATTAGAGACAGCAGACAGATCAACATTCAATTGTACAGCTACAACCTAGAAAAAGCTATAAATTTGGCAGTGACATAGGGTTCAATAATACAGGCCAACCTTTTTCTTTAAAGTCCATGGACTTACAGGACTCCTATCAGTGCAGTGTTCAGGCATTTCAGCAGGTTAAAAAATAAAATAAAATAACAGTTACCTTTCATCCTTCTATTTCTGCTTCAGTATGGCATTCTGAGAACTCCATTCACTGCACAGAATTGCTTCACTAGTTACAAGCAAGAAAGAAAAACTTCCAAGGGAAAGGAGAGAAGAAGGAACATATTCCACATTCAAGTCTGAATCTGGATAATTAGATGCTAGTGTGAGCACAGGTGCTATGCAGACACACAGATGACCTCCCATGCTCTCTACCTCCAGATGATGTAACACAAGGCACCTGCTAACTATGCTCACTTTAAACTGCAGTAGAAATTAGAGCCATAACTGAGAATCTCACTGGAATTTCTTTTCTTCAGCTCCCCCTCTCGCTCAGTTTTCTGTCAAACAGCTGTGTTTGTAAAGGAAATCATCCCTCTGGAAACAAGGTGCTTGGTGGTTGTGTGGAACCAAGCCTGTGTGCTCCACATGCAGCTCTACTAGGAGCCCTGGAGCTCTTCTGCTCAGGTGGGGAGGTCTACCCTGGGGAGGGTCCCCTCAGGGAGCTGTGTTGGCAGCACCAAGGCCTGCCTCAGCTCCCCTCCCAAGTCCCAAGCTCAGCAGCTCCTCAGAGCAACGCACCTTGTCCTCTCTGCACACTTCAGTTTGTAGTGCCATCTGGGGAGCTGTGCTGTGATGGACACCTGCACTTCCAGGGGAGGAATGGACGGCTCAGCAGTGCTCCTGACCTCAGCACTAGATGGTACACTCTGGAAAATGGCTGGAAATCAGGACGACTGCACACACATTTAAGTAAAGAAGCTCCTACTCATAATGACCTGCTGGTTGCTGGTTCTTGAGGGCATGTCCAGTGTTACACAACACTTTGTTAAAAGGCCTTGAGGGTCCTTGAGCCTACAAACATAATTCTGTTTTTAAATGAGACCTGAGATTCTCCTTCAATTGGAAAACTTTAGGAACAGACAATTGAGTCTTGCAGAACACATTGCAAGACTGACAGTAAGAGTACGCAAAGTGACAATCATTGGTTTTGTCTTAGAAAAGCAGCCGAGACCAACACTTGCAGACCTTCACTCACAAATTTCAGCAGCTCCCAGTTGCCTTTGGCATGGCAGATGGAATAGGTCAGGCATGTCCAACCTGTGGCACATGGGCCACATGACCAATCCAGACCATCCTGAGCCCACCCTGCGCCATCATGGCAGCAGCTCTTCCCCACTGAGCAGCCCAGTCTGGCCCTGGGTGTGCACCCATCACTCAGCAACAAGCAAACACTGATGTACAATTAGCACTGTCTGGGCTGAAACCAGGGCATGGGGAGGGTGCAGTGCAGTGATAACTCAATTTATGCAAATAATTTCATGCATTTTCATACATTGGCTTTCTGTTCTGTAACAGAAAAAATACGCAGCCATGCTTTCTGTTTTGCTAAAGGAATGTGAGAATATGTTTTGAGATTGAAAAAAAAAAAAGATAAGATCAATGTTTCGGTATACTTGCAACTCCATTTTAGTAAATATAAATACATTATCTGCAAATTTTCAAATGGAATGTAGAGAGCTGCCATCAGACATTCAACTCAACAGTGTGATCATATTTCTTCACCAGATTTTATAAACCCCCTCTTACCATAGAGAAACATCCCTTGCTTCACAGTCATGCCTTATTCCTGTAATCGCTGTCAGGCAGTACATACATCTGTGAACAATTTCTTCAAGGATGAAGCACAGGAAGAGTAAATTTCATCAAAAATGTTGCAAATGCCTTCAGAGCTCCTAAGAGCTGCAGCCACTGCCAGCGAACCAGACACCAATGAGTTAGTTTCTCACAAACAAGGTCACGTATCTCACCAGTGTTACGGTGGTGTTGCTATCTTTTTTCATTTTGTCTTGTTTCAATAAAAAATATTAAAGATTAAAAAAGTTGTATTACTGTCATGTATGAACCATATTACATATTTTATGAGGGCTGCCCTGAAGGTAGTGCTTCATATTTTGTGATGGTGTCCCACGATGTCAGAGGCAGACACTGGTGGTACGGCAGTAGAAGTTGAACCCTTCCCACCAGTATTCAGTTACATGCTGTTGCTGTGTGACAGATGTCAGCAGAGGGGCAGTTTGACACAATGGTGTCTAAGGTGGAAGTGTGTATGAAGCAAAGGTGTTAAACTGAATTCTTCCAATATGTGGAAAATGGCAGCCACTGACATTCATTGATGCTTGCTGAATGCTGATGGAGATTGAAGAGTGGATGTGAGCACAGGGAGGTGCACTTCAGCAGCAGTGACAGCAGTCACCTCCACTGGGGCAGATTACAAGCACAGCACGCAGGCTCTTGTTCACCACTGGTGAAAATGCAGCTAGTGGTGTGACTGGTGAAAAATGGTGTTTCATAGCTGAGAACATGCCCTAGGAAATAGTACGCTCCTCCAATATGCTGCAGTTTCTGTAGAAATAAATAGTGGGCATTCTTTTTGGTACAAAGTACGTATGCACAGCCCGAGGCAATCCGTCTTCACTCGGCGCGACCCAGGCAAGCCGGCAGGTTGTGCACCGCTGGGACGGATACTAAACTGATACTTTCAAGGCAGCTGCCGAGGGCGAAGCGGGCAGTTCGCCCGCCGCGCACCGCTCTTCAGCGTGGGCCGCGCGGTGCGAGGGGCGGGCCACGACGGGAGGGCCGGGGACGGGGCCGGCAGCGGCCGCACCTCCATTCCGCGGGGCGGCGCCGGGCCGGGCCATAAGAGACGCGGGGTAGCGGTGGTCTTAGGCGGCGGGATGCAGGCGGGTCCCGGGGTGCAGGCGGTGCGGCCCTTCAAGCTGCGCAAGAGTCTGGGTATGGGGCGGTGCGGCGGCGGAACAGGGGCGGCGGGCGGCGCGCGCGTAACGCTTGTGCTCTCTCCCGCGCAGCCACCCGGCGGGAGGAGGTGGCCGGAATCAGGGCCAAGTTCCCCACAAAGATCCCGGTAATTCGCTGCTTTGCGGGCGGAGGCTCCCGGCTTCTGCTTCGAGTATTTTGGAAGGAGGGGAACAGGACGTCGCTGGGGCTTCTGAGTGACTCTAATTTAAACAGGTAATCGTTGAAAGATACCAGAAGGAGAAATACCTTCCCCTGTTGGACAAAACCAAGTTTCTCGTCCCCGAGGAGCTGACCATGACGCAGCTCATCACCATCATCAGGTAGGGGCCGTGCGCTGCCGCTCCCCGGTGCCGCCCGCGCCGGGCACGGGGCTGCGCGCGCTGGGACGGGAGAGCAGGAGGGAAGGGGCTCGGGGCTCCCGGCTCCCGCGGTCCCTCTTCCCCTTCGCTGGTGGACGAGAGCGGCGCGAGGCTGCTGCTCCGTTCCCGTTCTGGACTGTGCTCTGCTTCTGGCTGCTGCTGCCCTGCTCCTGTTGCACCTACAGGTTACCCAGGCTCGTGGCAGCTCCGTTCCAGGTGTTCTTTACAAATACGCTGGCAAAGAGGTCTCCCAAAAGAGACTTTCTGTGCCGGAGTGCTGAGAATTGTAAGGCTTTCAGATGACAGAAAGTGTGTGGAAGCCATCTTTCTAGTTATTAACTTACATAAAAGATGCTTTTGTCTCTTGCAAGCCAGTCTTCATGTGTAAGTCTCTGAATGAGACTCTTCTGAGGCAGACTATAAGTGTAACAAACTGTGCTGAAATTCCCTATTATAGCTGTACTCGGCACTTCTTAGGAATGGGCAACCCCAAGCTCAGGCTCAGTAGCAGGTTAACGCAGTTGGTTATGGTCCTGCAGGTTAAGCCTTTTCCTGGAGCAAGCCTCCTGCTTCCGAGTACAGTTAACTTTCTGATGGAGATGTTAAACTAAGCAATGACTTCATGCATAAACTATTGCAAGAAATGCTGCAACTGTTCTGCTGAATATATTTTATAGAGTGAGGTTGAAACCTTCTTAAATTTGCTAATGCTTGGTCCTTTATTTCCTTTTCCCTCTTCAATCAGAAGCAGGATGGCTCTGACTGCTACGCAAGCTTTCTACCTGCTGGTGAACAACAAAAGCCTAGCCAGTATGTCTTTGACCATGGCAGAGGTGTACAGGGACTACAAAGATGAAGATGGCTTTGTGTACATGACGTATGCTTCCCAGGAGATGTTTGGATGCTGCTCACTCACCCTAGGGAAAACTATGGAATGCCACCATAAAACCTAATGCTGGGGTCTATGTGCTGCGGCTAAGCCACTGTTCTATGAATCATGCCTGTGACATGAAACTCGGAGATGCTCCCTCTAATGTGAGCTCTTGAGCTCTGTACTGGGGAGTTATGACCCAAAAGCTGGCAGGACCAGCTCAAGGCAGAGATGGTGGTACACTTTTCCATGGATAATAACTTAGGTGTATATTTTTATACTTGGAAGGCACTATGGGTTGTTTTTGCTTTGTTGGGTTTTTTTTGTTTGTTTGTTTTTGTTTTTTGGACCTGCACCTCCACTTCTTTTTGCAATACCGATCTTGTGATGTAACTGCTTTTTAAGGTGTTGCTTAAGAATAAAATAAAGAAGCTTTTAAGTACTAGGTTGAATGTCAGTTTTAATTTGGGGGAAGACTTTCTGGGAAAAGGTCCTCTAATAATTCTGGATTCTGGGCTCAAGGCCTCTGAAGTGTTGCTTGCACAGCCAATTTTATAATGCGATAACAGAACTGAAGTCTGCTCACACAGGTGCAGACAAACAACTTAAGTGAAGTCCCTGAGTGGCAGGGTTGCATCAGTGCTGGAATAGGGGTTGGTGTTCAAGAATCTGTTCTTTCTATTGAATTCTGCTGTCTGGTTTATTGTAGGTAAGACAGTCATATCCTTCACCTATCGGCACCTGAGTGGCTCTTTTGCTGAAGGATTTCAGTGAGCCTTGCCTCAAGCGTGGGTGCTTGTGCTGTCAAGAATAAGGTTATGAAAACACACAAGCTTTGGGATCCCAGAATCTCATACTTGGATAGAGTGCCATTTTACTCATAATGGAAACAGTTTCCATTTCAGAAACTGAATGCAAATAGTCATTTGTTAGAAGCCCTCAGGGATGCAAGGACACCTGTTTGGCAGGAGCGCTGTACAAAGATGTCAAACAGCTGTGGGAATCTTGTGGTGGGGAAGCAAGAGGGAGTCTTACCATGTTCAGGCTCTTGCCCAGACTAAGAGCTTAGCTAATATTTTTGCTTCATTGCCTCCTCTGTGTTTGTCTTCCTGTCTTGTGTGATGCTTGGTACATGAAGAGAAAAGCGCTACAGATTCTTGGCTGGGGCAATTTCATGTCTGGCAGCTGACTTCAGTTTGTAATGTAGTGGCTAAGGGTTAAGGGTTGGTCCTTCCAGCTTTCATTGATGTTAGATTGTGTGCTGTCTAATGGGCTGAGTCAGAGATCTAGGGAAAAAAAAAAAAAAAAAAAGACATGGGAAGAAGGTCAGTTGCAGGTGAAGAGCATCATTATAAGCCTGTTCAAACTGGCCAGCTGAACCCAGAGCCTAATCTCAGGAGCCTGGTAAAGCTCTATCACTCTATCATTGGGTAATAGTAACAAGGCATACCCTTCTATCAGGTGTTAAAGCAAGTGCGATTAATTATCAAAGACAATTTTCAAAGAGTTTTAAAAGTAATAAGCTGGGAATTAGATGCCCAAATAAATTGGTTAATGTGTTGGTAGAGTTGCCTTGGTGTGATAAGAAGCTCTGAACAGAACTATTCTTTGAACTGTAGGGAACAGCAATTAAAAAAGAAGCAAACACAAAAACTTTGCTCTGATGACTGACATAAGCAATTGAGATAACCACAGCTGCTTCCAGTGAGCTGCTGTTTGAAGAGCTAATATTTGTCTGAGCTACTATGCACTGATTAGAGACAGGTACATAATTTTTGCAATGAAGGATACCACTGCAAGCTTGCCATAAATAAATTCTCCAGCACTCCTATCTAACACCAGCGTAAACAGAGAAGGCAGAGATAGTGGTTATGTTTGTAAAAGTGTATTCATTTATCAATTATTATATGGATTCTTGTTCTTTAATACCCAAAATCTGCATCAGAGGAAAGAAAGCAAGCTGAGGATACTTTGTTTTTGCCGCAGACTACCAGATAAAGCCTGGGAA